GCCTGTCGGGGCCTGGGTTTCAGCTGTCCACACCACAGCAGTGGGCAACGAGCTTAAAAGCCCCTGATGACTCTGGGCGCTGACTCTCACCAGTGACTATGGATGAAGTCACAGGCGATTTTCAACCATGATGCATATGTTTCATAGTTCAGCATGATTCTTATGAATTCTGGAGGTTTTGTTTATCATTATTCATAAGCATCAGTAGGAGCAGCATCAGTTCTGTATTTTGTTGTCTTCTGATATTTCAGAGGGTTTCACTTTGTATTATCTGATGTAGTTCTCGAAATAACTGAGGTAGGTAGGACAATTACTATTTTCTGCAACTTCAAGTTAGAATTGAATTAAACTTAGACACTGTAAAGGCAACATAGCTCCTATGGCTTATGAGTGCTATAATTGAGATTGATGTGTAAGCCTTTGATTTTTTAAAATCTCCATTCATTGGGTTGGTTATTGCCTTTAAAATTGTGACTATTTTTTCCTTTTTAATACTTCTCCAGTATAATTCTAGGGAAAATGAATCATTCACAGAATCTATTTTGATTTGAGATCTGTATTTTGGTAATGATACTTCTTTTCCCTTGTTTGGCAATTTTAATAATAAGTTAACATTTACATACTTTTTTGGTCCATTCAATTATTTATTTGTATATGTTTAGGAAAAATCATCTAATGTTAAGAATGAAAATGCAGCCAGCACCCGTAAATCTGAAAACCTGCGGGGCTGTGACTTACTTCAAGAAGTCTCAGTCACCATTCGAAGATTTAAGAAAACGTCAATTTCTAAAGAAAGGTACCCTCATTTCTTTTCCTTGCTAGTCTTAAAATAATAATATTTCAAAGAAAAAATTCCTGAAACATCACAACATTACAAATTTATAACTTTTTTTTTTTTGCTTCGAAATTGTTTTGGTTTTCTTAGTTACCTATTGCTACTATAACAAAAATGTCACAAGTGACAACTTTATCAAACAGAATTTGTTTTCTCATAGTTTCTGAGAATTCAGAATTCAACCTTTGGCGAGGGCTTTCTCTTTGTCTCTTGGCTTGGAGGAATGTCCTTTCTTGTCCTTCTAAGCTTCTCTTCCTTAGCACTCCTTAAGTGGCTTGACTTCTCTCTTCCTCCATCTCTGCCTCCTCGCTTGCATTTAATCTCTTGTACATTTACATTTCGTCACTTACATTGAATCTTTAAAGAGATTGACTTAACAGCATATGCCATACCCATTTTTTTATGCAATTATAACCATTGGCATAGACATTAAGATTTACAGTATCTATTTTTAGGTGATACAATTCAATCCATAGCCCTTTTCATCTTTCGGGAAACTGTAATTCAGTGAGGATAGGGGTTATCATTTTACATCATTCGTTTACCCCTAGTATGTACATTATGCTGGCTACATATTCAGAACACAGTAAATATTGCTAGACTAAGAAAAGAAGTCAACATAATCTGAAGCTATATTGATTCTTTGTTGAGACTATAAAATTTTATTGTATTTATTTTATTATGGTAATACTATTTATTTTAAAAACCTTCAACAAGACAAAAAATATTGCTTCTATGCTGTTTATAGTTCTTTAATATGCTGACGTTAAATTCAGAGGTTAGTATTTGTGGTAGAATTTAATTTCCAGTATATTTAGAAGGTTTTATTATAACTGTGATTGAAAATAATTTGTACACAATCAGTATGTGATAGCCTAAATCTATTTGTTTTCCATGTTAATATATTTATGTTTTATATTTGTAGAGTACAACGATGTGCCATGTTACAGTTTTCAGAATTTCATGAGAAACTTCTTAGCACCCTCTGCAGAAAAACAGATGATAGCCAAATCACAGAGCATTCTCAGAGCCTTGTGTTGGATACCCTCTGTTGGTTAGCTGGAGTACATTCCAATGGACCAGGAAGGTTAATAAAAACATCGTACTTCATTCTTGAGAGCCCTTTGAATATTTTTTTAAAGATGATTCTAAATATGTGTTGTTATTTTGCAGCTCGAAGGAGGGTAATGAAAGCCTCCTTTCAAAAACAAGGAAATGTCTTTCAGACATTGTACGCGTTTGCTTCTTTGAAGCAGGACGAAGCATAGCTCACAAGTGTGCCAGATTTCTAGCTTTGTGTATTAGGTAGGTATTATGTTGAAAACACTTTGTAGGTGCACCTGCAATTTAGGTAAAGATAAGGGTTAGGGTATCTTAATGTATCTTAGGTAAAGATAGTACAGAGTGGTCTTTGTAGAAAGTTATGTATTATTTATGAGGATTTTCAAATTTTCCTGAGGTTTATTGATATTTCTTTCAAAGGAATTTTGAATTCTTATTGCAAAAGGCCACAATAAATAAGTCTGTCAGCAAACAAGTCTATGAGGTTTCTCTGCCTGAAAGTAGACATTTGGGTAATTTAGTAAGGAAGAGACTTTCTTCTTCACTTATGCTTCTAATCTTCCAAGATATTTTGAATTTCATCTGAAACTGTGTTCTCTGTTATATAACAATCTAATTGAACCTACTTGCAACATTGTGTAGATGACTTCTCTAAGTCTACAACTCAAACTTTATAGAAACTAATTGAAAGCTGATTGAATTGACTGCCCTTGCTTATTCTTTTTGTGAAATACTTTAGTATAATTATTCTTTAACTGTCTTTCTACTTGTTGAGAACTTAAGGCTATTTCCCCCATGTAAAATAATGCATATAAATGGGGGAAAATTGCTTTGTGAATGCATTTTATGGTTTAAGAATGGCTATATTACATATATGATTGAATTTAAACCATGAATAACGTCTGAATATTTTTCTTGAAAAATTTTTTCAGTAATGGCAAGTGTGACCCATGTCAACCAGGATTTGGATCTGTTCTTTTGAAGGCCTTACTTGATAATATGTCATTTCTACCTGCAGCAGCAACTGGTGGTAATGTGAACTCATTTTAATTAAAATACAGTAGTTATAAGAAATATCTCACAAATATTTTGGGATCGTCTAGCAACTGGTCTTATTATTTGTAGTGTGTTATTCAAGAAGCTGATGAATTGTAGTTGATTGGTCACGTGCTCTGTGTTTGGTAATATTCCCAGGATAAGGTAAACAGGACAGTTAAGAAAATATCAGATTGTTTCACTTAATACATTTTTTGTAGCTTCATTGAAATTATTGATTTATTGTTACTGACTGTTATCAGACGTCACCAAATAAAATGCTAGTGGATTGCCACAGAGCTGACATTTAAAAAGTAGTCTAGGTTTAATTGTAAGGCCTATGGCAAGTTGTAATGATCTAAAAGGGACTTTTAGGCGTACTTAGCATTTGAAATGTTAATGGGTCATTGAAAATGACTATGTTGTTGTTGTTGTTATGTGCCGTTGAGTTGCTTGCGACTCATAGCGACCCTGTGCAAAACAGCCTTAAACTCTGCTCTGTCTTGTGCCAGTCGCACTATCTCTGACACTCTCATCTCAATAACCCCAATCACCGAATCAGTCCACTTCATAGAGGGCCTTCCCCTCCTGCGCTGTCCCTCCACTCTCCCCAGCATGATGTCCTTCACCAAGGACCGGTCTCTTCTTACAACATGTCCAAAGTATGTTAGACGGAGCCTCAGAATCCTTGCCTCCAAGGAG